GTTAGTTCACCCAAATTACAAACAAGACACTTACCTCTGAGGTTTCTGCTGCCGCCACAATACACTCTGGGTAAATGGAGATTTTCTTCTTTATATAAAGACGGTTGTGATTACTCTGGATCATTCATAGACCAGACTAGTCATCGAGAACTGTTTCCATTTTAGATCTGATTCCAAAATTCTGATTTGAAATTTTCATTTTGATTTTGTTCAGAAGTTCTGACACAACTTTTGCTTGTAGTAGTTTTAAATGAACAGTTTACTGCATACACGTACTGTATATCCCACAGTGCTGGTCTGAGCCTATAGTTGTCCAAGTTCAGTGTCTGTGTGTCTTCTTGTCTACTCATGCATCTGTTTTATTTATTCATGAGTCTAGCATTTATCTCTGTTAACCTTTTCAGCCAGTCCTGAGTTCCTTAATTGGTAGGTGAATAACACAAATTGCATGATTGTCAATCACCTAAATTTAGTTGATGCTACGCTGTGGTACCACTGTCGCACAGTTCGTGTAGCTGTGAGGTGTTTGATTACCTTGATAGAGAGGGACAGTGGTTGACAAAATACTCAGATCCTTTACGTAAATACAAGCACTAATATCACAGTGTAATACTCTGTTACCAGAAAAAGCATTGAAAATTTGACTTAAGTAAAAGTACATCAATATAATCAATTAAATGTAAAAGTCCTCAATACAAAACAAAAGTTTCCTATTGCAAGTATACATCAGATTATTATTACTCATGCATTCATGTAAAAGCAGGATTTTACTGTTGTAGTTTGTTTTTGAACTAATTCTTTTCGGACTGCAGCTAATGACTATTTTCGTTAAGGATTAATCTGCTGATTGTGTTCTCAATCAACTGATTATTTGGTTTGTTAAGAAAAATAAAAATTAAAACAGTCAGAAATGTAGTCACAATTAAGCAGCCCAAAGTGATGCCATCACAATGTTTTTTGCCCAACCAGTAATACAATCATCAAAATTATTAAAAATAAATTGTGTTTTTAAAAATTGTAGTAATTTAAAGGATTATCAGCAAATCCTTGCATTTCTGAAGCTGGAACCACTACATATTTTTGCTGGTAAATGATGTTTATCAAAATAGTTACCAATTAGAGTAAAATGAGCTTGTTGTGATTAAAATCCAGACATTACCCAACCCTATCGCTATACTCTCTATATATTTGCACAGAAGAATTGTTTCTTTAAAAACTGTTGACAATAAAGTCTTTGTAAGAATACAACGAGGATCCAAGTGCAAATAAAAGCCGGAGAGGAAAGAACCACTTAAGAGGCTTTAATATGTTGGCAACACAAAAAAAGACATGGGTTTAAACCTGAGACCTGAAGTCACATACCTATGACCCAGCTGAAACCTAAATATGACAACCAAGCCCAACCCTTCATCTTAGCTTTGCAAGCTATTTTAAAATGGCCTGACTTGAGCTTGAACCTTTGCAGAAATAAAAATGGCTTTGCAGGTTCCGTATTGGCAGCAGAACTCGAAATCTAACCTATATCTGTCGTTGTATGGCACTGAAATGACAGGTAGCAGTTATAGATAAGGATGGGAAACTATTGGTTAACACTAGTTTGTGGAGAACAGGAGACCTTCACAGTGTAGCTCCCTTCCCCTCCTAGTCAGACGATCAGCACCACGGAGAGTGCCACAATGTTTATTGTATAGTAACGCTTACACTGTTTTTAGGAAGATATAGTGCTGTTTAAGTTTGGTAAACGTGACTTTGAATGCTTTGTAAAAATTCAGTTAATCTCTATTGTAATCCATGAGATTTCTTCTGAAGTTAGAAATCAAATTTGCATCTTTGTGTTGAACTAATGTTTCTCTACTTCTGCCTCCATCTTCAGTCAGTCCCTTGTTACATTTCTGGCATTTATGGGATTACAATCTTTAGAAGACATTTCAGCAGATTCCAGCGGGCACTCAAACAATACCACCAACACGTTCAGACAATCAAACTTTGGCCTAATGTTCCTGATACTTTCTGTGAGAATGACAAGAAATATTAGAAAACGAATTATCACTTTTTCTTTGTTTATTTCAGAAGTGAATTTGTTTATTTTTTCTTTGTTTTGTAGTTAAAGTATTTGGATGATTACTTAACTAAAACTAATAATGTAGCAGTAAAAACAGTTTGTTCAAAATCCTACAGTACAGTAATGAAAGTACGAAAGTTTTTATAATACATACATACAGTTAAATACATTTCACATATGTAAAGTAAAAGGACTTGTTTGGCGAAACCGGATATTTTATGGTAAATGGCAGTGTTCATACTAATGCCTCATACTGTTAAAGCTAGTTCTACCTATTTTATTCTTTAAGGGTGAAATGTTAAGTTGTGAGATGATCAGTGAGAAAAGAAAAACACTAAGCTATGCTACACAATTCTGTTTTTTTTTTTTAATTTAGTCTTTATTGATAGTGAATTATGTGATTATTAAATGTTTGGTGCTCAAAACAATTAGTTAAATGAAAGCAGCTGGGATTTTTAGGTTGGAACCGGTAACTACTTAGGGTCCTTATGACATATGAAACATGGAAATGTGCCCCAGACACACAGTTTTTTTTGTAGGGGTCACAAACCAAAAAGTTTAAATTAAACCAGTTCGGGAAAATTGGTTCGGTTTGAAATAATGTATTGTATTTTTAATCTGATCTTCTAATTCCTAAAATTTAAAGTTTCCTCCACTCAAAAATGTGTTTGGTATATGTTACTGCTCTTGGGTGTTTTAGCTTCACTATACAGACTGATGTATGTCCACACTGGGAGGGTATTTTAAAATTCTTGTGCTGAAAGTGAAACATGTATTTGTGCTAGTAGGGTTTGTGACATCACCACTAGTGTAGCCAATCCTGGTCCAGTAGGCAATCTATACAAGTGTGAAGTGAAAAGCAGACTTTGCAAAAACAGTGAGAATGTACTTTCAGTGAGACATATTGTGTCCAGCAGTGAAACTTTTGAATGAAAGTCTGTTTCATAGTCATACATTTTAGACTTTTAAATGACGGAAGAGGTGCAGGTAATTGAATGGGAAAACCCTATTTGATGCAAAATGTTACTGAAAGAAGACTACCTTGAGCAGCGAATAACCAGAACAGTCAAATAAATGCTGTTGAGTGAGAGAGAAAATCTTAGTGTAGTGGAGTGGAGTGGAAGTATAGCATAAAATGAAGATATTTAGGTATAGCACTTGTGTAAATGTACTTGGTTACATTATAGAATATTGCTGTTGAGGCGCAACATCTAAGTTCTCCAGATGCTTCACCACACTGCTGCCTGCATAAAAATAAAGACCCTTCCAAACTAAATGAAGAAATGGACACAACTTTGCTGAGAGCAAGAAGTGAAAGTAAAAAAAAAAGTTATCACTCCATGCAGAGATAGTGACATGAGCATCTTCTAAAAAAAAAAAAAAAAAAAAAGAGTTTCTTCCCAGACCCAAAAGTCCAAAACCTTTTCCCCACTTCATCCCCGCCAGCACCAGTTTCAGCTTCTGCTGTCCTTCATCTTATTTCCATATCTGTCTCTAGTCACTGCTCCATCACCAGCTCCCCGGTACCCCCATCCCCAAAAACACACTGGCATCCCCATCTCTGTCTCATGCTTCATTCCCACCCCAGCCAGCCTGCAGCCCCCTGCTGAGTTAAATGGAGTGTGCCGGCATCAGGGGAGTCGCGTGTGCTCAGTTCAGCTCAGCTCAGCTGGGCTGCCAGCGTTATAAACTTAGTGTGTGATTATCGTCAGAGCCAGACTCCTCCACCCAGGATGTCTGCGCTGATGGGTACTGTGTCACCGGGTACAGCCAGCCATGGAGCGAAGGGTGAGAAACCGGAGGAGGGATGGAAACCAACACAAGAGGGAAGAGAAATATTGTTGGTGGGGGAGATGAAGAAAGGTAACGGGGTTGGAGAGAAAAAAAAAGGATAGGAAAAGATAAAGGAGGGGGAACAAGCAGGAGAGGAGCGAATCATCAAAGGAGAGAAAAAGTCAAGCTGAGCAAGGAAAGACTGATGTACACCTATCGCAGCAGACAAAGACAAGGGAAGACACACAGGGAGTGATATAAAGAGGGAGAAGCAGAAGAATAACGCGTCGGGAGAAGAAAGAGAGGCAGCAGGGAAATCAGCAGAGGAGGGGAAAAAGAAAGAGAGACAGGGAGGGTGGATAGAAAAGAAAGCCAAGGAGAGAAATTAGAGAGAAATTTTTCAAGCGAGTGATGTGTACTGTGATTGTTTTCTCTCCTCCTCTCTCGCTCTCTTTCTCTCTCTCTGTCTCACTCTAAACGGTCGGGATGTGGCCTGTATCTGCCGGCAAGAAGGAACTCAATTTGGGACAATTTACTCGGCAGTCTCAGCCCTGATGCACCTCAGGGACAGAGAATAGAGAGAATGAAAGTGAAGGAAGATAGAATCAGCAAGCCACACACACATACAGACACACACAAACTCACACTTACTCTCACACACACACACACACACACAATGTGCGCCTTGCACACAATTGCCGCCGAGTAGATTTCACTTAGTTAGTTCTAACTCTCCCAGGCGGTCAATACGATTGAGTTTATAAGGCTTGGAAATGAAAAGCCCAGGATAAGGTTAGATAAACTGTGTGCTATTTGATTTCTGCCCACCTCTCGCAGAAAAACCCACACAAGACAGATGGCCAGAGGGGATACGCTGAAATCATGTTGTGCAAAGGGTCATATGGGTGATTAAGGCTGAATACGTTATGTGTTTTGACCCTTACTCCGTACCTGCATTGGTTTCTCCGTATTGATGAACACGCTGCATGATTTTCCAAATGCGTCTCCTTGCATTCTTATTATGCCCTGCAGTTGAGAGGGCGCAACTATTTCGACCAGTTGTTGAATAAAACACTGTCAACTAAGCAAATGTTACATCTAACTGTGTGTCCTCAAAGTTTAGGTTTTCGAATCTCACTGCAACGTTGCATCTGTGTGCTGGCAGGTTGGCAGCCTGGAGGGTCTGTACACCCTGAGAGACAGCAGGGGGCGTCCTGACAGAGCCACCTTTGAGGACAGACTTGCAGCCGCAGAAGGGGTAAGTGTCTCTAATCAATTAATCGATCAGTCAGACTTTATTTGTCTCTCAGGTTTCATGCTAACAAAATATAACACAAAATACTTCACAGGACAAAAAGAATAAAAAACACATTGAAGATAATACCCCTCCCCCACCCCTGATAAATAGAAATGAAAGATGTGCAAAAACACTGAGGAAGTTAAAAACTCGCTGGTCCATTTATTAAACACTATACCTCAAAAGTGAGAACATAAAGAGCGGATGAAGCTGGCTGATCCTAAAAGAAGCCGCTGACTGATTTTTCTTTTTTTTTTTTTTTTTTATTTGGCGTGACTTGTACTGTCTGTAACACAGCGGGAAATAGATTTGTAACTACAGCAAATCAGAGCGTTCAGCTACTTAGATGTGACTGTTTGATACATTTAACACGGCCACGTCAAGGTGAATTCACACTCTGGCATCAGTTCTGATTTTACCCAGCATGTATATGCAAATGAAAGTTCATTTGGCTGGTGTTGCTGTTTTAATCAGGGTCTAGTGTTGATTAGCACGAAGGATGCAAAAAAAAAAACAGAGCCATGTGGTGAGTAATAGCTAAAAGTTGTTTACCTTGCTGATGTCGCTCGTGTGCCTGTTCGACCCAATATCATTTTGTGCCCTCCCCTCCCTCCTTCGCTCCCTCCCTCCCTCGCCACCCTCAACAAGCCGTTCTGCATCACCCTCCGAGCACACAATGCAGCCTCCTCACCGGGCTTCCGTTGCCAGGGAAACCGTTACCCACGGAGACATCCCATGACAGCACAGGGCGAGAGAGGCGGGATGAGAGGAAGGGTCAGAGATATGGCTTTGGCCCTGTCCGTTCTCCAGGGTGCACCAGACCTCTGGCCCTTCCCCAACACACTGCCCCTTCAATCACACACATGAAAAAAAACAACAACAACAACAACAACAACAAAACGCTACTCCTCTCGCACACGCAGACGGACACACAAGCGAAATAAATGGACGGAAAGTAAAAGACAGAAAAAGATTCCAAACTTTCCGATTCAGAGTTATCATCTGAATCAGTGTGCGTGTGATTAATTGAAGTAATTTATGCGCAATCTCCAGTGACTCCATGTATGGTTCATGATTTCATTAAACTGTAACTTTAATTACTTTTCTACTGTCGTAACTTTAGGTGAAAATGAATTTGCACCCCCAAAATGTCCTACATATCGTAATGAGTCTTACGTTTAATGGATTGCACAAATAATGTTTTGGGATAATGAACAATTGCATATTTAGACGTTGCCTCTCCCTGCCAGCAGCTGTTACGTCCTTAAATGTCTTTTCATTAAGGTCTGTTTGTAGGGTTTGTTTTATGTGAAGTAATCTTTTTTAGCTTTGAGGCAAGAAAAAAATGCCTCTAATATCACTTACTTGACTTTATTTAAGAGATAGTGTCTTGGTTATTATACCAATCAAACTAATAGAATTTGTTTGAATTGCAGTTTTTCAGCTGAAAACACTGATAACCGGGTTGGTTTTAAAGAAGACATACTTATGTTGTTGCATGTGTTGTCATACTCAATTACAGTGTGTTTGCTACAGTAGCTGGCCCTCTGCCAAAGCCTGAGCTATACTCCATCCACCCACCTCTGACCAGGCCTCTGTCTATGCAGACCTGTCTGCTGTTTTTCTTCTTTGCATCACGCACTGTGCTTGTCATTGCATGGCTGGCAGGTTACATTGTAGAACTCAGCAGTTACTGCATCATACAAAGTTTAGTAGATTTCAAGATTTAGTTAATATTAACTTCATGTTGCCTAAAGTGACTTTTGAGGTTAGAATTGTATTTTAGTTAGAGAAGCATGATAATGCACCATTGCTGAGATCACCCAGACGTCCAGGTGTTTTGTGTGTTACTCTCTTTAGTAATTACATTTTTTAAATGAAAGACTAAGTCACTGGTGCATCATTGTGTAGCAGAAGTGTTTGAAGGCTGTGTTTTCATCCGTTAGATTTACTCCACTAATAAGGTGGAATTAAACCAAGTCTTGGTTTATTCAGTTTTCTGCTAGGTTTGAAAATTAGTGACTATTGAGTACGTTTCCAAAAGCACAATCATGTCATTTAAGCTTCATCAGAGAGTTTCATTCTTTACAGCCAGAATCAGAGGTCAGAAACTTTGTGGTTTAGACATTTCTCCTGATAACAACATAACAATCATTAGATTTAAACCGCTCTCAAAATCATTTTCCGATCATATCACAAGTGGTTGAATGTCCAAATCACATGTTCTGAAGAAGATCAAACAATGACTCTTGGGACAGTAAATTTGACCTCGCTTAGTACACAAATATTCTTTCAGTTTCAGTAATTTCTTTTGAAAGGGACCGTGTGTATTAATCAACATAAATACACTCAAGTTAGCCAGAATGTTCATTTTCATTGGCAGTCTATTTTCCTGACGTTCTTAGGGATCGAAAATGAATAATGGTAAAGCAGTATGTAGTGTAGTAAATTCTTTATTGTAATAAAAGCATGTGGAAAACAGATTTTTTTAAAAAAAGCATGAACAGTTCATACAATACAGCTAAATTCACTTAAACATGTGGATATATTATGAGTCTTTAACTATTTCAGAAATATTTTAATCATTAAGGACTTGATTTTTGATTTATTTGATTTTTGATGATATTTTTAAGCTGGAATTTGTTGGCATCATTGAAAAAATTCTATGGTTACCTCTGCTCTGAGAGGAAACTTGGCTTCTGCCCCTCTTGGTTCTGTTTTTTGGCTTCAGAAAATCGTGATCCTGACAAGATAGGAGTTTTTTTTAGAAAGAGGGTGTTTCTGTTGGTTGTTCTAAAAATGCATGTCAGTTATGCAAGACCAAAGCTAAATTTATTAGGGCTGTAGTATCTAGATCGACCAGTCAATTGGTCCGTATTCTCACTGCTCGGAGATTTGCTGGTGTTACTTTCATAAAGAAAAATGTGCCACATCGTTACCTTTCCACGATTAATCCATTATTTTTCCTTTTGGGAGAAACAGACCCAAAAAAACACATTTTCAAAACTTTTACAATTCGTCCAAATTATTTGAGACAGCTACGTCTAACCTTTTTAACTCTTAGGCTACAATCCCTGAATGTTTACTCAGAGTTGGCTTCAAATTGACACCATATCAAAGAAGTCAGTGGTGTGGCTGCATTTTGTTAAACTGGTTGACCAAATACTCAAATTTAAACTTTGTCAATGGCAGATATGTTTTCTAGTAATATATTGTGTAATAGTTGTAACCATGCCATACTGACAGGTGTGCTGTGTCTATAGTAAGTTAAACAAGTCAAAGTTAAAAGCAGTATATTTTCTAAAGGTCTGATGATGACGTGGAACCATGTCAAGCTAATATAATGCAGTATAAAATATAAAAAATGCTTGTTATCACAGTTGTAGCAAACTATTATCCGGTCGTTAATTAAGAAAATACTTAAAATTAACTGTTTCCTAGGAACTCATGAGTATAATTGTGTTCCATAAAAGAGAAATACTCAGCATCATGTGTGAATTAACATGGCCTGCTGTAGGTCATAATAAACAGTTGTGCTAAAGCAGTCCATATAAACGGGGCACTGAGATTTACGTGTTGAGAGCTGCTGCTAATATTTACAGCACTGCCACACACACACACACAGACACACTCACAGAACGGAGGTCCACGGTGGTTTCTCAGACGAGGAGGAGGTGTTGCCACCGTGTAATCCCGGCCGATGCAGCCCTCTGTCAGCACGGCAACAATCAGCTGTTGTATTAATTGCACAACTAATGACATAATTAGCAAGGCTGTGGAAAACAGCTCAACATAAACATGCGAGAGTTCAGAGGCAAAACACAGATAAGGACGTAATGGGCGCATGTGCTTGTTCACTGTTATGAAGCAAGAAACACACAGACTTTAGGATGGACATAAACATACATGGAGTATATACACAAAGACATCTAATTCTCTTATACACGTATGGCTGTAGTGTGACGAAACTGTAATATCATCTTAAGGTTTTCTCTTCTGTCTTCCTTTGTACCTTGTTTATTTGAATCCCTCCCTCCCCTCAATGACTCTCTTCCTTCTTGTCCTAACTATCATACCTCTTGCAGTTTCATTCTTAAACACACAGACATGTCTCTGACTGAACTGCACACTGACCTTTTACAAAATGTCTCAGATACTAACCCCCTGCCAGCTTCTGACATACACACATTGGTCCCTGCTGGTGTATTACACATTTAACACACACATACAGAAAACCACTGGTCGCAGTGTGTCCCTATCTTGTGACGTCCTGGTTTTAAAATGTTTTTTTTTTTTTTCTTCAGTCCTAATGTCTGTCTAGTTATTCTAAGCTGCAGATAAACCTTATTGATACAACCACTTAAGCTGACAGCAACAAGGCTCTTAGCACAGAGAGAAGTCAAAGACATATGTAGCAGAACCAGTGGGAAGTTTTCATTATATAAACTGAATAACTGACTAAAGTTATATAAGGAGAAATGTTTTGTTTTTTTATCAGAGAAAAAGATGTGATGATGAGTAGTCAAGGTCAGGTCAGCTTTTAAAATAAATGAAGTAGTATAAAGCCTTTACCTTGCAACCATTCAAATGATCAAACATGATCCACCTCATTGTGAGTAATGCTTATCTAACCAGCTATTAGTAGGTAAACTTATTTTTTGCATAAATCTGCAAACATGCAATGAAGCAGGTCAAGCTAAATTGAGCAGGCAAACCCATTTTGCGCATTTTGAGAATTTGTTTCCTATGTCCAGTGCAAACAAAATAGTCGTCTTCCACAGCACTGAGTGATGCTCAACCTTCCTGTATTTGTAGATATACTGTATGATGTTTACCTGATACAAAAACAACACAAAAACAGTAAAGGTGGTTGCTTAGCCAGCATTTAAGATGGCACATATGGCTGAAGATGTGGTGGCTAATCCAAGATATCTTTGCCAGTCCTGCTTTGCCTTCTGCAT